GGCGTACTTTGTCAGTGTAAGTATCTCACTTCTGTGTGCACTCGCTCTTTGTCAGTGTAAGTATCTCACTTCTGTGTGCGTACTTTGTCAGTGTAAGTATCTCACTTCTGTGTGCGTACTTTGTCAGTGTAAGTATCTCACTTCTGTGTGCGTACTTTGTAAGTGTAAGTATCTCACTTCTGTGTGCGTACAGTTTAAGTTCTGTGTGTACTTTGTAAAGTGTTATCTCACTTCTGTGTGCGTACTTGTAAGTGTAAGTAAGGTCGTGCGTGTCAGTGTAAGTATCTTAAATTGCGTGCAATAGTGTACGTTTTTGTGCGACTATGTACTTTTGTTTCCCCTCGCTCTGCAAGTGTGCTTAAATTGGATGTGTTTATGTACTTTGTGTTACTATTCTAATGGAGTTCTTTCTCGCATAAGGAGGGGGAGATGAGAAGGGAGGGAGAGAGGGAGAGGGAGAGAGGAGAGTGAAGAGGGAGGAGAGAGAGGAGAGGGCGAAAGAAAGGAAGAAAGTGAAAGAGAGAGAGAGAGAGAGAGAGAGAGAGAGAGAGAGAGAGAGAGAAGAGAGAGAGAGAGAGAGAGAGAGAGAGAGAGAGAGAGAGAGAGAGAGAGAGAGAGAGAGAGAAAGAAAGAGAGAGAGAGAGAGAGAGAGAGAGAATAGTCAAAGGAGAGAGAGAGAGAACAGACAGAGACAGATAGATAGAGAGAGAGAATAGTCAAACGAAAGAGAGAAAGAGAGAGACAAAGAGAGAGAGAGAGAGAGAGAATAGTCAAAGAAAGAGAGAAAGAGAGAGAGGGGGAGAGAATAGTCATATTTGCAGGCTCGACTCCACAGAATAATTGATAAACAAACATTGCACTCAGCATTCTCTACATTTATGGAGTCAGGCACACATCCACTCTTATACCCAAAAAAGGATTTGCTTTGTGAAATCTTACCTGATTCTTACAACAAAGGATTTCTTATGCCTTTTCTTACTGTCAGCGAAAACACGTGCACTGGATTTAGATTTATATAAATAGTCTGATTTGCCAGCTTTACCTACTGCTTTTTTTTTTTTTTTCTTTCTTTTTTTTTTTTTCTTTTCTCTTCTCTTTTTTTTTTTTTTTTTTTTTTTTTTTTTTTTTTTTTTGCTGCCACGCCCTACCGGCTTGAATTTCCCCGTTCTCTTTTAAGGAACACTTTTAAATCGTTTTATGAATCACGATATATTATACTGCGTGAATCATTCGGCAAGAATCAGTTTTCACAATGGATTCATCAGTAGTCGAAACTTGAGGTTTTGAGCGTAAAATAAAAGAGAGAGAAGAAGAAGAAGAAGAAGAAGAAGAAGAGATGAGAAGAAGAAAAGAAGAGAAGAAGAAAGTGAAGAAGAAAAGAAGAAGAGAGAAGAGAAGAAGAGAGAAAGAGAGAAGAGAGAAGGAAGAGAGAGAGAGAGAGAGAGAGAGAGAGAAGAGAGAGAGGAGAGAGAGAGAGAGAAAGAAGAGAGAAGAGAGAGAGAGAGAGAGAGAGAGAGAGAGAAGAGAGAGGGAGGGGGGAAGAAAGAAAAAGAAGAAGAAAGAGAGAGAGAGAGAGAAAAACATATTAAAAAAAGAATTCGCTAAGTAACGGAACCTGAGCCGATCGCCCCGGTTTCTCTCTCGAGTTGATTTAGAGACCGCGTTCGGGCACTCGGTTTCAGGACGCGAAGTGGACGAGTCTCGCCTTGCATCATCATCATCTCGCCAAGCATTTGATATATCTCCGTTACCCGAGATTCTGAAGCTCTCCCATCGATTCGATTGTGTGCGTTTTCCTCTCGGTGCTACATATCACGTGTTCTTTTCGTTCATTCGTAAACAAAACGCTTCTGTACCGTGATGTTAAAGGGGATGATCGTACCGTACTCGTTCACTCGTGTATTCATACGCACTTGGAGGCAGATCTGAGGCTTAGAAGTATGCGAAATCTCCCCAAACTACAAGCCTTTATTCCCCCGTTTATTCCCAACACCTCTTACTCTTGCTCACTCTTACTCTTACTCACAGTCATCACTCGGCGTCGCGTACTCACCATCGTGCTCGTTGTATAGAGGTGTGACTGGCTTTGGTCGGCTGTCTGTCTCTACCTTTGGAGGCAGATTCGGCTGCTTAGGATGAAGCCAGGCGAAGCAGCCGGAGTCCTTGCAGGAGGAGCAGGCGTTCCCCATCGCAAAGGTGAGCCACTCAAAATAGGTGCCTCAAATTCTCCACGAAATATCTCAGTCGAGAGAGATAGAGATAGAGAGTTCCTGGTGTTTTCAACCGCTTCTGGAGCACCTGAATAATTTTTTTTTTTTCAACGTAAACAACAAGTCCTCTCAAGTACAACGAAACACCACGGATCCGTCCCACCGTAGATTCGCACTCTCTTGAAACTTGGCTGGCAGCGAGAGGCTCTTGAATGTGGCGGCGGCGGCGGAGGAGCGAGGGCGCGCGGGGGGTAACGTTCAGGCGGGCGCGGGTTGCCTAGTGGTGAGGCTCGCGGTGGAAGCCCGGGTATATGTAGACTCTCTTAGCCCAGGACGAGGCGCTCAGGGGTGCCAACCGCGCTTACGTTTTCCAATTATGGTTCAAAATATACGAAGCTTTCCTCTTCAGAAGTAAGTCCATTGTATGGATCGAAATTCGCGCAGATTCGCAGGAGGACGACCTTCACAACTTGACAGGGATTGGGGGAAAAAATATTATGTGGGTTAAAATTTACTACGTGACTCAGGGCAGGGTGAGTGTGGCTAGTAAAGTGGACAGGTTTGAATGGAATTCCTTCCCAGGCATCTATGGAGGACACGGGCATAAGCAGTGGCGTTCTGGAAGGAGGTGGTGTAATTTCAAAGAAGACGACATAGATAGAGAAGGGATAGAGAAAGAGAAAAAGGAAGGGTAGGGAGAGAGAGAGAGAGAGAGAGAGAGAGAGTGAGTGAGTGAGTGAGAGAGGAGAGAGTGTGTGTGAGAGAGAGAGGAGAGTGAGTGAGAGTGAGAAAGAAAGAGAGAGAGAGAGAGTGACAGAGACAGAGGGAAAGAAAGAGAGAGAGGGGGGAGGAGGAGAGTGAGAGAGAGACAGACAAACAGTCAGACAGACAGACAGATAGAGAAAGGAGTAAAGGAGAGAGAGAGAAAAAAAAAACAGACAAAGATAGAGACAGAATAGAGAGGGTAAAACAGTCATACAAACAACCGGATACACAGCCAAACAGATACACAAACAAACAGAGAGCGAAAGAGCAAGCCACAAACAATACAGACAAAGTAAAAAAAAAAAAACTAACAGACACTTGAACAGGTGTCTTTCCATCTCTTTTTATGTGGCTTTTAAGATGGCCACAGACACACACACACACACACACACTTCCCTACCACCGTGGAATCTGACAAGAGCGCCCGCATACCAAATGATACCCATCTTGCTCTACCATGCAGGACTCACCAAAGCTCCGCGGGGACTTTTTCGTGCACTGCAATATTGCAAGAGATGGACAGATTGTATGTTGTTTATTAAGTGCTCAGCAACACGGACTTCTTTTTTTCTTTTCAGTGGCACTTAGGTAATTATTTTTTCTTTTCAGTGTCATTTAGATAAAAAAAAATTCTTTTTAGTGTCATTTAGATAATTTTTTTTTCTTTTCAGTGTCATTTAGATAATTCTTTTTTCTTTTCGGTGTCATTTAGATAATTCTTTTTTCTTTTCATTGTCATTTAGATGATTCTTTTTTCTTTTCAGTGTCATTTAGATAATTATTTTTTTCTTTTCAGTGTCATTTAGATAATTATTTTTTCTTTTCAGTGTCATTTAGATAATCCTTTTTTCTTTTCAGTGTCATTTAGATAATTATTTTTTCTTTTCAGTGTCATTTAGATAATTATTTTTTTCTCTTCAGTGTCATTTAGATAATTATTTTTTCTTTTCAGTGTCATTTAGATAATTTTTTTTTTCTTTTCAGTGTCATTTAGATAATTATTTTTTTCTTTTCAGTGTCATTTAGATAATTATTTTTTTTCTTTTCAGTGTCATTTAGATAATTATTTTTTCTTTTCAGTGTCATTTAGATAATTATTTTTTTCTCTTCAGTGTCATTTAGATAATTCTTTTTTCTTTTCAGTCATTTAGATAATTATTTTTTCTTTCATTCATTTAGATAATTATTTTTTTCTTTTCAGTGTCATTTAGATAATTATTTTTTTCTTTTCAGTGTCATTTAGATAATTCTTTTTTCTTTTCAGTATTATTTAAATATTTTTGCAAGACGCAGGAACTAGTGTAGTAATATTATCAGTAATAATAATATTATCAGTCCTAACTTGTACGTAAGTGAGCGTAACTTAAAGGAATTACTGATGTACTAAAATAAAAAAATGAATAGTAAGTGTCACTAAAAATATGAATTTTGAGTTTAAAACGTAGTAAAATATGTTGATTACCCGCTTTTAATTTATGTTATGAATAAGAACATGAAATTATCTTCGTTACTGTTATCATCATGATTATCCTTATCATCATTATTATTGTTATTATTATCATTATTGTTATTATTATTATTATTATTATTATTATTATTATTATTATTATTATTATTATTATTATTATCAATATTATTAATATTATCATTATTATCATTGTTGTTGTTGTTGTTGTTGTTGTTGTTGTTGTTATTTTATTATTGTATTATTATTATTGTTATTATTATTATTATTATCATTATTATTATTATTATCATTATTATTAATATTATCATTATCATTATTATTGTTGTTGTTGTTGTTGCTGTTGTTATTATTATTGTCATTATCATTATTATTATCATAATTATCATCATTATCAATATCATAATCATCATTAGCAGCAGCATCGTAGTTCTTAGTTGTAGTAGTATTACTATTACTATTGCATCATTTTTATTACTAATATCTTAGCATCATAACCATCATTGTTATTATTATCATTATCATGTTTTCATCATCATCATCATTATCAAAATTATATT